GGTGGCAAGCTCCGGGATACGAATGCAGGAGGGAGCCAGGAGTTCTGTTTTGCTTCGGGGAACGGAGTTACCACCTCCGTTGGTTCCGTCGTCCGGGTCCGGGTCGTATCTGGTGCACTGTCGGGACCTATGGCTGTCCCGCTGATTCGTCACCTGCCAACGTCGAACGTCGCAAGTCTCCAAGTCTGATGCGGCTGACCTTAATCGAAGGTTGTGCGCCCTCGTTCTTCCTCCGAGCGAGTTCGCCAGATGAAGCCAGAGGCTCGGTACTCGTGGTCCAACAAACACTCTAAGCACGGGGGTTGGGGCCAGTAAGGAGCCATTGCGAGCTAGGGGACGATGGTTAGGGAGTGATAGGGTAGGATACGGTGATAGAGAGGGAATTCGGTCCCCAAGATAATGATTCCGGTCTCCGTGAGGACGTGACAAATGTATGAGCTAGACTAGCTCCGAAGATGGGGGTTACGTCCCAAGGCCTGGTCGAGGTCCCAGTCACCCGTCCGCACGTCTGGACGTCCGTACATACGCCCCCCCCGACGCCCGTACGGACCGTACGGACGGACTTCGGGCTGTCCGTACACGGCCTTCCGGAGGGGTGCTGAGGGGGTGGATGGGCTGGGGGGGGGTCGCATGTCAGGGGGTACCCCCCCATTCAAAAAAATAGTAAAAAAAAAGATGTTTTTGTTTTGGTCCCGGGTGAAGGGAAAAAAAAATGATTGATTGATTAATTCGTTGATTGATTGATTGATTGATTGTTTGATTGATTGGTTGATTGATCGATTGATTGATTGATTGATTGATTGATTGATTGATTGATTGATTAACATGTGCACATTGATTGATTGATTGATTGATTGATTGATCCAGCGTGGAAAAAAAGAAATGAAAAAAAAGAAAAAAAAATCCATTAAAAAGATTGATTGATTGATTGGCAGTGAGGGGGTCGCCTCCCCCCCGCGCACACACACACACACACACACACACACACACACACACACACACACACACACACACACACACACACACACACACACATGCTTGCAAGTGGTGTGGCTTTAGCCCGGATACGTGTCGTTTCGGCCGCATGCCAGAATAGGTGCCTATCCCAACATAATCATTCGCCATCGGAAATTACCCCTACACTAGTGAAACTTTCTCTTACCTTCGGCGAGCGACGAGAGAGACGAGGAATTCACCCCACAGAAATTGTCAGAATTGCATGAGAAAAAGAACCCCCCCCTGGCGAGGGAGCCTGAAGTTCTGGATTCCCTAGCCTATATACCAAGAGTGCCTCTAGGCCTCGGAGGATCCCGTAGCCTTCTAAATGGTGGTTTTTTTTATTGGGTCTCCTTTTTTGCTCATTCAACCCGGGCTCACTCTTCTGAGCTGGACCCCTCCCACGAGCCCTGGTCCCCTGATAACCGGGCCCCTGGCCCCCTAAGTGCCCTCTACCCTCCTGGTACCCTGACGCTCCAAAATGGGATTCTCGGACGCTCCTAAGAACTACGGAGCATATTTAAACCTGGRACGATCCTATACTCGACCTCTTTCGCCTTTTGAACTGGAGAGCCCTCCGCCTGCGCCTGTGTACTCCATCGTGAGTCGGCATTACTGCCCGCCTCCCGTACAATCCACAGGAACTAGCGGGGCGTTCTCCGCCATCGATTCGTGCTCCGCATGCGGGACCAGAATGACGCCCTCAGAATTGCTTCGTCCACCCCTGGGTGCACGCCGCGCCTCAACCCCCGTACGTTGATTGACGCACGCCGCTTGCCTCGTCCGCCTATTGCCCGCGAAGGTCTTGATGACGCTGCACCCTCGCCACCTATCTCTGGACGACTTACTACCGCACCATCCATGCTCTCCGCTTCGTTGTCGCCAGATCATTGATTAACGGAGGGCTGGTCAAGTGTACTGCTCTCCCCGGCTCGGCGCCACCAACGCCCCCGGATCATTTGGGCGATCACTGCCATACCCCGTGTATGGAATGAAAAGTTCCCTCCTCTTTCCCTCATTCTGCCTGTGCCCCCTGACCCCCTTCGTCATTATGTCCATGGATCTCGGGCTATGCCCTAGAGGAATCCAGTCCCTCTAGGTACGATATGCCAGAGGTTTTTGTTCTCTGATGATCTAGTTTGATGGGAGCTAGTGATAAGTACTTCAGGACACACCCCATCACCCTCTCTGCATTCGTCGGCTTTACATGTGCCGCCTGACTGAATCGGGACCTCGCGGCTGTTTCTTCCCCCTTTCTCCTTGATTGTGCCCTCTCCCCTACCCCATGGATGCATCACCCCCACCCCAAAGGAGAGAGGTCAGGGTTAACAACCCCGTGAGTGCCTATGCATCATATGATTGGTTGTCCGTTTGTTTGTTTGTGTTGGGTGCTGATTAACGTAGGCTTTCCTCTACGCGTGTTCGTTGGAGTTCTAGCTTCGTCCATTCAGCATAGGACCTGCGGAGTCATGCAACTGCTGTCTGCTGTACACGCGGCCCTGATCTTTTTGCTCTCCTTCATGGCGTATCTGGCCTTCCTCTCATTTTTGGACCTCCATACGATCCACTCGTTGTCGCTGTTGGGGATGCCTCGAAATTCGTCTTCGCTCCTACCTAAGCGGTGCAGGGTGGTGTGAAGTCTTCGGAGCGAAATCGTATATATTCTGTCGGAACGGCGTACGGTCGAATTTTGTAGGGAGGCCTTGGGAGGACCCCTCGACGTTAAGGAATGGATACCAGGATGCCTCTGCTAATGTCTTGATCGTTTCGGCTCGTCATTCTTTTTCTTCTGTCCTGCGTTACCCCTCTGCTTTCCCTCCTCTCGCTCTCGCTCCTTGTCTGGATGTCTTGGGATTCTTGCTGGCGACCATCATCGATGTGTTGTGCGCACCTTGGAGTGATGCCTCTGTCTTGTTTGATGAGCTGCTGTGCGTTAGTGGTATGGCTTGGGATTCACGAATTAGTCTCGCTCGCTGTTCTGCTAATATTGCTTTCYTGGCGARACCAGCGCGTGTCCATTTTCATGTATAGYTGATGAGGRCTTCCGCTTGAGTGGGGTTATGGGCCGTCGGAAGGTTGTTGCRGTAATTTCCTGTCTRCCTCTCGGCACTGTCWATGGTATATCGAGACGAKCRGTTGCTGATGGGTTCTTCAGGATTGTGTCGAGCTTCTCTGTTCATGGGTATAGGGTTGGCGATGAGAAGGAGGGGTGAGGATGCATTATTCGGAATGTGAACGTTGGAAACACGGGTACGGGTGGASGAAGAGAGGGCGGATGATCACACCCAGTGARAACGTCTCTGGGGGAACCTTGCCTCATGTCCATTGATGCTTCSGATTTCCGCGCATGGAGGGTGGGTGATGATGGGGGTTATGAGCTATCACACGTTTGATCGGGTTTGAAGGAGGGTTGGGGTTATGATCCAATGGTGGGGAGGGATGTGCCGAGGTTACACGGGGTGATGGATTGGCCTGCATAGTTCAGGCGGGGATGACGGTTGTGTGTTGGTGGTTTCGGATCCGCAAGATTGGCCAACGAGCATCTGCGGGGGATGGAGGTGTGTTCCGGAGCTTTTGCTGCTCGTTTGTCCGGATGCAGCGGTAACAACAGTAGTTTCGAGGAAGGCAGGAATAGGATTCGCTAATCGGAAGATTAGCATTGGGGACGCACAGGGGAGTGATGAGGCGCGGTGATTCATATGAAGAACGACATTGGAGGAAGGGCAGCCCCCTCGCCACTGTTGATCGGAGGAGTCCTTGCGGATGGTTGTGAGTTACCCACGCATTTGGATGATCGGAGTTTGACGATTACTCTCTATGGAGTGGATAAGGGAGATGGTGACGGGGGAGGTCGAATGCATGTCTCGAACAGGGTCTTTCGTTCCTTCCAATCGGCGCCTCTTCGTAAAGATTGTTCCCGGTGCTAAGCTATAGAACAGAGTAGAAGCTCTGGTTGAATGGTTGCTAGGAGGAATATAATAAGTGCTTAGGCAGCGGTGGTCATCTGTAGCATGGAGGGCTTGAGCCTGTGTTTCGTTGCGGAAGGACCATGATGCCTCCCGACGTAATGATTAGAATTTGGTTTTTGGTTCAGATCCCCCTGAAAGTGTTGTTTCGGAGATCTGCTGCCCTTCGTCTGTTGAGTAATCGGGATGGTCTCATGAACGCTTTTTGCCCCGTTTTTTTTGGTGGAGAGTATCCTTTAACCGGAGGATTGACTCTGTGCTCTCATGATGGTTTTATGCTCATCCTTGGTACTGAATTATTAGTGTATATGGGTGGTAAGGGATACTGCGATGCCTTACTTTCCCACCAACCGCCTGATGTATGGGATACACGAAATGAGTATATCGACGTTTTCTAGAATGGAGTTGCGTTGGATTGGAGTCGGTCCGTTAGATGATGCTTGGTGAAAGGGGGTGCGAGCTTGAAAGTCGTGGCAATGATGATTAGTGACTCTCAAAGTTCTTATGAGCCCGCGTGTATCCTTTTGGCTATCTGCTGCACGAACTTCTCCTTTTTCTCGGAGCAATTTACTGTTTTGTGGTCTGGTTGGTTCGGACGCGGTGAGGGTAAACTCTTTTTCCGGGTATGAGACTCGTGTTTGGTTCTCAGTTGAGTAATGTGAGATCTTACTGTTTGGTATGAACCCGCTTGATAGCATGCTTAAATTGAATCGCATCGGATCTTGCTGCTTTGTGAACAACGGCTTCCTTCCGACAAGTTGATTTATCCAAGCACTTTGGTTTTGCTATTGGAAATTCATCTGACGAGGCATCATTTAGGAAATTCAATGTTTCTCGAAGTTGTAATTTATGGTTGCCCTTGTCAATGGTACCTTGGAATGAGGTGTGCTGTGCTGAATCGACTTTTTTGTTGGTCTCGTGCTCTAATCTCATGCTGCTCCTAGTCGAATGTTGCTTTCTGATGCATGAATCATGTCGCAACATGCCGCGACGAGGTCGCGGGAGTAACGTATCTCGTAAACACACGCAGAGCTTAGCTCTTTGTACTTGCAATAGGGTAAGAATCCCTGCTGCCATGTTGTTGTCCAACTATCATGCTCTCCTACATTTGTGGAGTTGGTATCCAGATCAATTGATTGACCACATTTGGTTGATGTATGCATATCTCCAACATCATGGGTATCCCCAATCCTTTTGTCCTGCAACCGTCGTTTTGGTCGTCTCTCGTCCCTTCGGGTATTTGATAATTCGTTGATTGCTATGTGTCAGGTTCCGACGTTCTCGGAGAACGGATGGTACACAGACTTGCTGTCAGATGATGCATGTTGGCTAGATTCCTTTCCTGCGCCTGCTCGGCCTACGCAGGCCCTTATCTCCCTGGCGACGTCTAGGATCCTTGAGTTTGTTAGGATTCATTCTGTGGATGCTACCCCCCCTCTCGTCTCCGTGCTCTCCTTTGACAATTGGGCTGATCTGTTGTGCACGGCTGCGCATGACAAACCTGCTTTCCGCAGACTTACTGAGAATCTAGTAACCCAGCCTCCGGAGCAGGCAGCGGAGGATGAGCTGGTTGACCTCAGTGTCAACGATAGTCTTGCCATGAAGGAGAAGGTTTTTATTGATTTGTGGGGGGCCGAATCGAATTTCCATGTTGGCTTGATCCAGAAGGACCCTGGTCTCCGGGATGGTGGGTCTTTGTCCCAGTCCTCTGATGAGGATGATGAGGACCCCCTCCAGTTGATTGAGGAGGAGAAGCGCTTTCATGCTAAATTTATAGCTAATGGGAGGAGTGAGAAGGCGAAGGTGAGAGCGGCCAATCAAAGGATGGAGGTGAACAAATTTGCTCGTAATGCCTTCCTTCCTGTTGTCCCTCCGAGATGGGTCGAGAGGCAGTCCAGGGGGGTTGATGATAAGCTTTGGGATCTTCTTACGTTTAATGATACTGCACCAATTCACGCTGACTCCTACCGCTTTCTTGCATCCCTCACTGAACAGGAGTTGCAGAAATGTAACGAGAAGGCACTCACGGAGAACAGTGACCTTTGTAGGGGGGACTTTCCGCTCACACCTGACAACATGGAGCTTCCTGTAGTCGGAGAATTTGATCGCTCGAAGTGTACTGCATCTGCCACTGCGCTGTCCTTCGGAGGGTTTATGGGCCCAAGGATCCAGACTGCGGTAGCTGAACTAAAGTGTATTTGGAACGTTGGCAGGCCCTACCTGAAGTGCCGCTGCATTGAGTTGGGTAAGGGGGATTGCGGCAGGAACATTACGTGGTTCGACCACGTCCTCTAGTACCTACTCTCGGACTTGCATCACTTGTTTCTGGAGGCTCCATCTCTCAGAGCGCGCATTCGCGCCTTCAGGGTCTTAGCTAAGACCACGTGGTGTGCTCCAATTCTGGCGTCTGTCGTCTTTTTCCGCATGAGGGAAATCATGGTCAGGATGGCCCACAGTGTCTCCATCGACCCATCCAGGACTCCACAAAATATCTTGGACGAACCGGCCATCATGCTGCACAAATTCCCGAGAACGATGGCCAAGCTGATCCTCTCTTCTCGTTATGTTCGCTCCGCAGGAAAAAGGCAGAGGGAGGATTCTTCCTCGAAGACTGCTGTGAAGGGAGCGAAGAAGGGCCAACAAGCCACTTTTGAGTTCTATGTCGTACCTCCCAAGAACCAGCCTACCACGTTGGTGACCTGCACTCCCCCCTCCTCCTCGATAACGGAACAGTGTGATGGCCAAGCCTCCGCAACCAGCAAGACCCCGAGGAGGAGCCCGAGGGACAGGACTCCAGCCAGGATGGTTTTGTTCAATGCCTAACCGTTGTTATGATTGATGATTGATGTTGTGCTGTACAGGGGAATGAGGGTGTCATGGCCCGTGACCCCTCGGGGAGAAATAGGTGGCAAAAACCATCTCCCCCTGAGAAGAGCTTCTTTGTACATATGAAGTATACAAGCCGGATTATGGAGCATGTCCAGTTCAGATCTATCCTTGAGAAGGCGGTCAACCAGTTCTTTCCTATTGGTGTCAGGGAGTTGCTGTCTATGGTTGTGGTGGGATGGACCTATTTGAATTCGTTGGAGTCATTGGTTTATAAACCTGCCGCGGTGTTTCGTGACTTTGTCCTTGATGAATGGTTGAGTTTTTGTTCTGGCTTCTCCACTTGCCTGTGTGCTACAACCCGTTTCTTCCCCTTCCACCACCCTTGCACCCTCGACATGAGTCAACCCTTCGCCTCCCCCTCCACACATGTCCTCTCCCTTGATCCTTCAATCTCGACGCTCCCCAAGCTAAAGCACCTCCTCTCCCAGGGCCTGAATCACATCCCCTTCCACCCTTGCAACCCCCATGCTGCGTTCCATGAGTTCATGAACACGTGGCGATCAATAGTGAAGTATATGAGTGCACGGATGTTGATCAATAGGGGGATGCAGGCTAATGCCACTATGTATGTATCGAAGTGTCTGAGGTCGCAGCTAAGTGCTACGAATCCGGAGAGTTTCAGGGACCCTCCATGCGACCTAGACTCATTTGCTGTGAAAAGGGAAGCGGAATTTCTGGGCAAACGGTTGTTTATTGCTGGGACTGACAAATCGGCCAACACGCCCTCGTTTGCATGTATCCATTTGGTTAGGAAACTGGCTTTGGACAGATTGAGTAGCAAAGATTTTGTACCAGTTTCGTGCTCTCTAGATGAGATTATTAGTGAAGCTGAAGATTCTTTGACCCAACTGTTCCCTTGGTTGTCCACTGGTCCAAGAAAGTTACCCTACCTCATGGCCCTATACAACATCACAAGCTGGCGTTCAGATGGCTCACAAATGCCTCCGCCTCCTTTCTCACTCCCATCGCCTGCCTATGTGATGCGCTCCTCAAGAGTCTTTCCCTTGCAGTCATGTCTCATTGCAAGAAGATTGCAGATGGCCTCCTGCGTTTTCATGGTGTGGATACGTCCATCTGGTGGGCCATTGAATCCATCCAGGATTACTGCTATAATTTGCCAGACAAGGTACATTCAGTTTTTTCTGCAGATATTACCAGGTGTTTTGAGACTATCCTGATCGACGAATCGGAGACAGTCTCACTGCTGCAGTTGCCTTTTTCACTAGGATGGCGTTCAGATCCTAGGATGGTCACTCGAGGGCAGTTGTGAAATGCAAATTGGGCCCCGATGGATGGTTTTCTTGCGTAATGATGAAAGGGACGAAACGTTCTCCCTCCCCGCGTGTAGTATGGTTAGGGATGGACGATGTGATTCAGATTACTAGATGGTTGATAGCCAGGTGCTTTACAACCTTTGGGTGTCGCATCTGGAGGCAGGTCTCAGGGATCCCAATGGGCCTGCCCTGCTCCCCGATCTGGTGCACTGTTTACTTTTTCAAATACGAATTTACGATGATTCGGCGTCTGATCGATTCCAGGGCCATCAACCTTCTTCCCCTCTTCAAGTACACCTATAGGTACATCGATGATCTTCATTCACTTAATAAACCCTGCATCTGGAAATTCCTGCAGAATCCTCCCCCCATTGAGAACCCGGAGGTATTCTCGCTCTACCCCAGACACCTCATTGAGATAAAAAATCAAACTGAGGTGTTTGATCTCTCTGAGTCGGGTGAAATATATGGACTCAAAATGCAATTCCTTAATGCAGAGATCACCATCACTTCTGACACCCTTGGGACGTTCACCACGACCAAGTTTGATAAACGCTTGTCTCTTCAGTTCCATGTTATTAGATACGTGAAATACACCTCGAACAGGCCCATACAACAATCTTTGAACATCATCTTGGCGCAGGTGGCTTCCATTTTGGTGATTTGCTCTGAGCCCAGTACGGCTGCGGAAGAGATTTTGAGAGTGGTCACATACATGACTGAGAATGGCTTTTCTCTTCAACGTTGTGTCATGTGTGTTAATAGAGTCCTTAACTCCCCTCAAAATTTTCTCCCCTTCAGGGTGGATCCTGCGGACACTGATCGACGGTTCAAGGTAAGACGGACGTGTGGTCGTCGCACTCGACTGGATGGTGTCTTGGATACAGGTCGTGTGGCCTAGCCTGTGTGCTTTTGTGTGGGTATGTGTGTACTGGAGGCGGCCCCTACCGGTAGGGCGCTCTGGACAGCTAGCAGGTACCTCGCCAGTGGCAGGTACCTGTTATCTGCCCTGGGGAGCTGCCTTCTAGTGGGATTGGGGTGGGTCACACACACACACACACACACACACACACACACACACACACACACACACACACACACACACACGCTTGCAAGTGGTGTGGCTTTAGCCCGGATACGTGTCATTTCGGCCGCACGCCAGAATAGGTGCCTATCCCAGCATAATCATTCGCCATCGAAAATTACCCCTACACTAGTGAAACTTTCTCTTACCTTCTGCGGGCGACGAGAGGGACGAGGAATTCATCCCACAGAATTGCATGAAAAAAAGAACCCCCCCCTGGCGAGGGAGCCCAGAGTTCCGGATTCCCTAGCCTATATACCAAGAGTGCCTCTAGGCCTCGGAGGATCCCGTAGACTTCTGAATGCTTGTGCCTGGTGGTTTTTTCATTGGGTCTCCTTTTTTGCTCATTCAACCCGGGCTCACTCTTCTGAGCTGGACCCCTCCCACGAGCCCTGGTCCCCTGATAACCGGGCCCCTGGCCCCCTAAGTGCCCTCTACCCTCCTGGTACCCTGACGCTCCAAAATGGGATTCTCGGACGCTCCTAAGAACTACGGAGCATATTTAAACCTGGGACGATCCTATACTCGACCTCTTTCGCCTTTTGAACTGGAGAGCCCTCCGCCTGCGCCTGTGTACTCCATCGTGAGTCGGCATTACTGCCCGCCTCCCGTACAATCCACAGGAACTAGCGGGGCGTTCTCCGCCATCGATTCGTGCTCCGCATGCGGGACCAGAATGACGCCCTCAGAATTGCTTCGTCCACCCCTGGGTGCACGCCGCGCCTCAACCCCCGTACGTTGATTGACGCACGCCGCTTGCCTCGTCCGCCTATTGCCCGCGAAGGTCTTGATGACGCTGCACCCTCGCCACCTATCTCTGGACGACTTACTACCGCACCATCCATGCTCTCCGCTTCGTTGTCGCCAGATCATTGATTAACGGAGGGCTGGTCAAGTGTACTGCTCTCCCCGGCTCGGCGCCACCAACGCCCCCGGATCATTTGGGCGATCACTGCCATACCCCGTGTATGGAATGAAAAGTTCCCTCCTCTTTCCCTCATTCTGCCTGTGCCCCCTGACCCCCTTCGTCATTATGTCCATGGATCTCGGGCTATGCCCTAGAGGAATCCAGTCCCTCTAGGTACGATATGCCAGAGGTTTTTGTTCTCTGATGATCTAGTTTGATGGGAGCTAGTGATAAGTACTTCAGGACACACCCCATCACCCTCTCTGCATTCGTCGGCTTTACATGTGCCGCCTGACTGAATCGGGACCTCGCGGCTGTTTCTTCCCCCTTTCTCCTTGATTGTGCCCTCTCCCCTACCCCATGGATGCATCACCCCCACCCCAAAGGAGAGAGGTCAGGGTTAACAACCCCGTGAGTGCCTATGCATCATATGATTGGTTGTCCGTTTGTTTGTTTGTGTTGGGTGCTGATTAACGTAGGCTTTCCTCTACGCGTGTTCGTTGGAGTTCTAGCTTCGTCCATTCAGCATAGGACCTGCGGAGTCATGCAACTGCTGTCTGCTGTACACGCGGCCCTGATCTTTTTGCTCTCCTTCATGGCGTATCTGGCCTTCCTCTCATTTTTGGACCTCCATACGATCCACTCGTTGTCGCTGTTGGGGATGCCTCGAAATTCGTCTTCGCTCCTACCTAAGCGGTGCAGGGTGGTGTGAAGTCTTCGGAGCGAAATCGTATATATTCTGTCGGAACGGCGTACGGTCGAATTTTGTAGGGAGGCCTTGGGAGGACCCCTCGACGTTAAGGAATGGATACCAGGATGCCTCTGCTAATGTCTTGATCGTTTCGGCTCGTCATTCTTTTTCTTCTGTCCTGCGTTACCCCTCTGCTTTCCCTCCTCTCGCTCTCGCTCCTTGTCTGGATGTCTTGGGATTCTTGCTGGCGACCATCATCGATGTGTTGTGCGCACCTTGGAGTGATGCCTCTGTCTTGTTTGATGAGCTGCTGTGCGTTAGTGGTATGGCTTGGGATTCACGAATTAGTCTCGCTCGCTGTTCTGCTAATATTGCTTTCYTGGCGARACCAGCGCGTGTCCATTTTCATGTATAGYTGATGAGGRCTTCCGCTTGAGTGGGGTTATGGGCCGTCGGAAGGTTGTTGCRGTAATTTCCTGTCTRCCTCTCGGCACTGTCWATGGTATATCGAGACGAKCRGTTGCTGATGGGTTCTTCAGGAT